GTGCATCCCCATCACTACTCTGCTCCAGCTGCATGTAATTCCCGAGAAGGTTGGCCCAGAGAGGCTCACGCGGGGAACCCCGAGCGGCTCGCTGGGCGAAGCGTACAGCCACGCTGGAACCCCAACTAATCCAGATCGACGGGCGGCGCGGGGGCAAGAGCGGTCAGCATCGAATCGACAGTCCGGACATGAACGCGCGTCGACTCGAATCCCATCTGTACGGAACTGGAATATACAACCGAATCGGCTGCGCCAGGATGCACGACAGCGCCATGCACGCGTCCGGCCGCATCGCGTCGTCTGCATACCATAATCGAATCGGATCAGGCGCCAGCGGGCATCGATATCGAACGAGATCGATTGATCGGATCATGATGGACCGTGCGGGAGTGGGCGTCGGAGTTCGCCCATGAGCCCACGAGCTGAAGGGGCGTACCACCAGTGGGCTCACCAGGATGCGCAGATCCTTGCAGGTCTGGGCGTGACGGCGTGGCGCTCCCAGGCAGCGTTGGGCCGCCCCTCGTGCGAGCTGCCGCTCCCACTCGCAGGAGATGACCCCCTTGATGGTGAGCTCTTCCGGCCTGAACAAATCCCCCTCGGAGGAGGAGGATGAGGAGGATGAGGAGGAAGAGGATGCGGAGGATGAGGAGTATGAGGGGGGGCAAAGTGGAGGATGAGGAGGAGGAGGAGGAGGAGGAGGAGGAGGAGGAGGAGGACTGAGGCGGAGGAGAGGAGGAGGAGCGGTTCCCGACAGCACCCGCGTTTTTTCCTCTTTGGCCACGGCCAGCAACGGCCTCGGCTCGGACTCTGCGATGCCCGAAGCGGCGGGCGAGCGCGCGGGTTCAGGCTGCGGTGGCGGTCCGGATGACCCGCTTCTATGGCAGGTCCCCCGCTCCACCATGGCGCTCGGCTCCACTCAAGCACCCGGCGCAGCCATATATAAGTGCGCACACGGACACAGGCCCGAGTCGCCCAGAATATCGTCTGGGCCCCCTGGCTCCACCAGGAGAAAATAGATAGGAGCGAAAAGACTCCATAATGATATGATGATGCTGATGATGATGATGATGCTGATGATGCTGCTGATGATGATGATGATGATGCTTATGATGCTTATGATGATGATGATGCTGATGATGATGATGATGATGATGATGATGATGATGATGATGATGATGATGATGATGATGGGGTATGGAACCCACAACTGATGGTCGAGCCTCGGACGCACGGCGAAACGCAACCTCCGCAAGACTACGATACTACAGACTCAAAAGGCTTCGGCTTAAGCTCAGTGGTGGTGGTGGTAGAGCATGGACTCGTAGGTCGGGTACGGATAGAGCTTCTGATCCAGAAGGCCCTCGGCCTCATCGACCAGAGAGCGCACCTTGACCATCTGCTCCTTAACTTTGTCGCAAAGGTACTCGGCCTCTGCGACCATGTCATGAGGAGCCTCCTTCATCATCTTCTCAAGCTTTTCGGTCTCGGTCTTCACCGAAGCGTACAGCGCCTTACGATTGCCCATCAAGTCGTGGGCGTCCTTGTACAAGGCTAGGTCCTGTGCAAAAGCCGGCATGAATCCAGTCTTGACCATGTCGACCATTGTGGCGACCTCGACGCTGAGAGTGGTATTGTAGGCCTCGTACATCACCTCAGCCCTGGCCTTGGTCTCCTCCTTGGAGAAGACGCCAAGCTTCTCGAAGAGCTCAATGTTCTTGTTCGAGGCCCACTGCTTGATAGCCATCGGTGTCGTCTTGAGGTTGGGGAGGCCGCGCTTGGCCGCTTCGGCCGGCCACTCGGCGGAGTAGCCATTGCCTGTGAAGATGACGTTGCGGTTCTTCTTGTACATCTCGGCCACGGCATCGCGCGCCTTCACAGGGAAACTCGTTACCTCCGTCCATCGACCATCTTTGTTTCAACCTCTGTGGGCGCACCTGTATTGTTGTTCCCCCGAATCCTTGATCTGATTCCCCCCGGTGGGGTACAACCCCTTGTTCCCCGCGGCAAGGCCAGAGGCACGTGAGAGGAGGGGGCAGGCCTTCTAAGAAAGCGGCGGGGCTTCTCAGAAGCCCCCGCGCCGTCTGCGACATCGCCCCTGCCGTCGGAGGACACTTCTCTGAAGGCCGGAAGACTTCTGACCCTCCTGAGAAGGCCCGCACCCTCTGCAGTCCCCGTGGGCTCGCCGCCGATGTTCGTTTCCCTCGGGGGGGGGGTCGCTCCCAGGGGCCAGGGAGAGGGGGCCGATGCGGCCCCGGAGCTCAGGAGGGCACCGAGACACCGCTGGAGAGGCGCTGGCCGCCTCCCAGAGGACATCCTGGCCAATCTTTCGAGCTGAGTCCAGCCGTGGCGACGAGAACATCCAGAAAGTTTCAGAAACCTCCACAGCGACGTCGTCGTCGACGCCGCAGCCGCCGTCGCCGCTGCCGCTGCCGCGGTCGTCGTCGTCGTCGTCGTCGTCGTCGTCGTCGTCGTCGTCGTCGTCGTCGTAGTCGTCGTTGTCACGGCCGGCGTCGTCGTTGTCGTCGTCGCCGTCGTCTTTGTCTTCTTCGTCGTTGTCCCTTTCGTCGCCGTCTTCACCTCCCAGAGTCCATACAGATAAAATATTCTAGCTGCGGCCAACCGCGACGACGAGGACATCTACAATTTTCAAATACCTCCGCAACGAGTCGTGGTCGTGGTCGTGGTCGCGATCGTGGTCGCAGTCGTGGTCGTGGTGGTGGTGGTGGTCGTCATCTCGTCGTCATCGCATCCCAGTGTCGACGACGTGAACCGAAACGACGACGACGGCTTCATCATCGTGGTCGTCGCGGTCGCAGGGGGGAGGAGGGCGGGCCCAGACGCCCAGTGACGTGACCGGCGCTCACAAAGCGGACTCCAGATGAGTCGACCCCGTCCCCAGGACCAGCTTTTCATCGTGAACTGCTGTCTGGCGGCGCTGGGGAGTAACAAACAACAAACTGAGGAAGGAAGGAAGAAAGGGTAGAGAAACAACAAAACACAACAAACAACAACAAATAACGCATAGGAAACAAAAAACGAGACCGCAGGTCTCTACAACCCCCAAAATGGCAACCCCGCGAAGGCCAGTCCCTTGCTACCAGATGGAGCAGGGAACAACGATGGAGGGAAAAATGAAAAGGGTGCGAGGGAAAACCAGACAGGGTTTGAAGGGCACAGCGCCGAAGAAGCTGGAGGGGAAAAACAAGGGCGAGACAACAAACGAAAGGGTCTGGGGGTGTAAGCCGCACACTGGACGGAACAACAGAAGGGTGGAGGGCCGAGAAAGGATGCCCGCCTTCATGCCGCCCTCGATCTTATCGGAGAGCGCGCTCATGCCGGCGGCCATTATCGTGTTGCAGATCATCACCGGGAAAGAGCAGTTCTGCGACGAGCCTACTGCGCGGAACTCGTAGCGGTTGCCGCAGAAGGGGAAGGGCGCCGTGCGGTTGCGGTCCTCGACGTTGGATTCCACCGCCATGGACGCCTTGCAGCCAGTGGACTGCTGTTTCTTCTCAGCCTTGAACTCGTGTAGGGGACCGCCTGCGATCACCGCGTCCACGTGCGCTTCGAAGCCGGTGCCGGGGTAGAGCGAGATGATGGCCGGGGGCGCCTCCTGGGCTCCGAGGCGGTGGTCGTTGCCTGCGTGTGCCACGGCACAGCGCAGCACCTCGTTGTACTGCATGATGCCATGAGCGAGGCAGGCCAGGGCCGCAGTGTAGATGGTGCGTGCTTCATCCGTCTTGCCCGGGTAGAAGAAATTGATGCCCGTGTCGGTTCCGACGGACCAGTTGGCGTGCTTGCCGCTGCCGTTGATGCCGGCAAATGGTTTCTCGTGGAACAGCACCATCAGATTGTACTTGGCTGCCACCCTGTTGCAGACCTCCATGAAGTACACGTTGTTGTCGGCGGACCAGTTGGCCAGCCCGAAGATGGGCGACATCTCGTGCTGCCCAGGCGCCACCTCGTTGTGGCGGACCGCCATCGGGGTGCCCGTCCTCAGCATCTCCTGCTGCACCTCCACCAGGAGCTTGTCGACGAGCTCTGGGACGGGGGCGAAGTAATTGAGGTCCATCTGTTGGCCGCGTGTGGGCAGCTTGCCGAACAGCGTCCGGCCCGTGTTGACGAGGTCTGGCCGCTTCTTGTACAGGTCGGCGGAGACGACGAAGAACTCCTGCTCCCACCCGAGGTACGAACGCAGGCACTTGGCATCGGATGCCAGCCCCAGGGCCTTCAGGAAGCGCATCCCCTGGGCGCTCACGGCGTCCTGCGAGCGCAGGAGCGGCGTCTTGTCGTCGATCGCCTTTCCCAGGTGCGTCAGGAAGGAGCACGGGATCCGGAGCGTGGTGCCCGCAATGATCGGGGGCGACGTCCGGTCCCACACCGTGAAGGCGGCGGCGGAGTGCGTCACGCGCAGGCCGCCGTTGGGGAACGAGGAGCCGTCTGTCTCGCCCTGGAACAGGCGCTCGTGCGGGAGCGTCGCGAAGAAGGGCTTGATCGCGCTCCCCGACTTGAAGTCGAGGTCGACCAGGGTGTCCATCTTGAGGGCGCCGACGGCACCGCCCACGGCACCGCTGCCGCCGCGGCACGGGAAGAACCAGTGGGCAAAGTCGGTGCAGCCTTTCTCCCGCGCCCACTTGAACATGCCTTCCGCGATGGCCCGCTGGTCCTCCTCGCTGGTGGGAGCACCAGACACAGTGTCCTCGAGGAACCTCTTGAAGACTGGCGCCGGAACGTACCTCTTCATAGTCGCGTCGTCGAAGATGTGTTCGGTGGCAAATCATGGAAGCCTTCCATGCCACCTTGTCGGCTCTTGCCAAACGACGCTGATCGACGCTAAATCGACGCTAGTCGACGCTAAGTCGACGCTGATCGACTCTAAGCCGGCGCAATCCCATTGTCTCCCAGACGCCAATCGACGCGGATCGACGCTACAGACGGAACTAAAAGGGTAATCATGGGGCCCGACCACAAGACACCTTCCACAAGAAATCCAACCCTGAGGCCACAGGACGTCCATGGATTTTTGGCGTGGGAGCGTCACGCTTTCCACGGTAGAACCATCAAGACCCAGGAAACCCAGGGCACCCTGGAGGCAACCAGGGTGTTTCTTTGTATGGTGAGTATCGTTTAAGCGATCCCCATCCCCAGCGGCGTGCCCTGGGCCCCACTGGCCGATTCAACCCCCTGCATGAGGATGTAGGCCGCATCCCTCTGGTGACGAGGGGTGTCTCCCCAACTGGGGGGGGACAACTTAATGAGGGGTCTCGCAGGGGATGGGGGATGGGGGTGGGGGGGGGGGATTGGTCAAACGGTACCGGCATGGGTCTCCACGAGGAGGAGGAGGAGGAGGAGGAGGAGGAGGAGGAGGAGGAGGAGGAGGAGGAGGAGGAGGAGGAGGAGGAGGAGGAGGAGGAGGAGGAGGAGGAGGAGGAGGAAGGAGGAGGGAGGTAGGAGGAGAGGAGGGAGGAGGGAGGAGGAGGAGGAGTAGGAGGAGGAGGAGGAGGGAGGAGGAGGAGGAGGAGGGAGGAGGAGGAGGATGAGGAGGAGGAGGAGGAGGAGGAGGAGGAGGAGGAGGAGGAGGAGGAGGAGGAGGGAGGGGGAAGGCTCCCCCGAGTTGCTGCCGAGGCTGTGGGACGAGTCCAGGATGAGCGGGGCGCCGTCCGCGCCCTCGGGCGCGGGGCCCGCGGCCGGTGCGGCGCACTTGCCGCCCGTCAGCCCCATTGGGGGGTCGGAGGGCGCGCCTCTCGGCGGCGGCGGCCTCGACGGGGGGGGGCGAACGGAGCGGGCGGGGGTGGCGCGCCGCGGGCCGAGGGGAAGCCGAGCGGAAACAGCTGCGGGCGAGCTGGCCGGGGCGGGCATGTCCCCGTACAGGGGGATTTTTGGGAGAAACATCAGAAGGAGCCCATAGATGCTCCAAAATAGTGAAAACGAGCTCACAAAATCGTCCCCGGATATGTTTTCACTACTTTTGAATATTCCTCCTGTAGAGGGACGTGCCCGATTTGAGGCTAACTGCGAACCGATCCCAGCGCGACCCCAAGTCGGGGTACTCTTTTCGGTCGAGGCGTAAGATGGAGTCCGACGCACCTAATGGCATAGCACAGCGTAGCGATGCATAGCGCTGCTTATCACATCATGGCAGTGTGGCGCGGCACAGCATGGCAGAGCACTGTAGTCCATGATGTGGCACAGCGCTGGTAGCAGCGTATACTATAGAATAGCGCTGCACACATACAAATCAGCTTGGCGAAGGGCCCAATCCTATGCAATGGAGTCTGGCGCAACACGTGGCCTTCTCGAAACACACTGTGCGCCGCGGGGTCTGCGGACAAGAGACTCTGGAGCAAGTGAACCCTTTGTGGGGCATGGTCCGCGTGGGGGGGCGGGGGCCGAAGCGGGCGGACGCCCCCCCACCCCACCAGCGCGCCCACCAGGAACCGTACGGCAAGATCCTGTCGTGACGACCCGATGTCGGACACCGTGTAGATCGTTCAGCCTCGAACGATCGGCGGCTTTCCGATCGCCAGATCGCTCCATGTCGGCCGAGTCTGCGCCGCTGGCGGCGCTCAACCTTGAACGCCCGCGGCGGGTCGCTGCCGCGTCGGCACGACGCGATCTGCCCGCGAGGGCACGCGTCGAGAGAAAAAAATGGTAGCCACCGTGGACACAAAGCAGTGAGTTTCTAGCAAACCATGTTGGACAATCTATGTGGAACAGTCTACGCGGTGTGATATGTTTTGGCCAACGCACCAATGCTCCCGCGGAGCTGGAGACATGTCATATCGTTTGATATCTGGCAGCTTCTATGCCCCTGGACCTCTCCTGGGGTCGTTCTGTATAGAATTTCAAGGCGGCTCCAGCCGTGGCCACGAGGGCGCCAAGGGACGACCAAACATGTCCAGAAAGCGAAACTCCGACCCCAAACCCCGAATCCCGAATGCCGTTGAGGTCCCCCCTTCCCTGGGCGGCTATTGTGCGCAAGGCTCGAGTCCAGCCTCCTCCTTCCCCTAATCCTCCTCCTTGTTCTCCTCATCCAGGGCCATGCACGGCGACAACAAAACCAACAACCGACCGAACCGACAACAACCCCGACACCGACCGACATCGACAGGTCGAAAGCAGCCTGGAAGGTCGCAGCGGCGCGGCGACAGCACAATAATCGACCGAACCGAACCGACCGAACACAACCGACTGCGACGCAATCGAACCGACCAAACTGCGAATACAGCCGCCTGGCGCCTCGAGGAGGTCGGGGCGCCCAGCCTTTGTCGCCACTGTCCGAGCACAGAATCGACTGACCCCAACATGGAGCTTGCTTCGGCGATTCTGCAGTCAATGCGCAGCACGCTCCGCTGTCCCCGTCATGGCCCCCCCACCCTCCCTCCTTGGGCGGCCTTGCTTGTGCGCGAGGCCGAGCAGAAGAGTCCGCAATCGAATCGATGAGTCGGATCGGCTATCGACATGAACCAGATCGGCGGACATCGGCAGCCGAGTCGGGAG